AAAAACAAAAAACAGCTGCTATCAACGCATGCGAAGATGAAATGACCGGAAGTTTTTCTTCACAAAGTCACCAAATGTTGTTAAACAACCTGGGCACTTTCGAGATTGAAGTGTGGTTATTTTTTTTTTTTTTTGTGGATAAATGCTTATCCGAGAGCTGATAAGATGCGGAAACTGGGTGTATTGGTAATACCAAACCATAACAGGTTAACTAGTTAACTAACGTAATTCCCAAGCGAGCGAGCAGCCCAAGCGAGCGAGCAGCAAAACTAGCATATCTCAACTAACCAGAATTTAAATCAAATTATCTACTCCCACCAACCACTAATTAAATTAAATTAAATTACATGAAGTTGAGGACATCTTATTCTTGTATGCCCAACAGTATTGCAATTGCTGCAGCGTTGTGGCGCTCGTATGCGGGGTCTAGGCTCCGGGGCCGCAGGTACGGAATGTTGAATAACAGGCTGTTCAACAGGCTCAGCTGCAGGAATAATAAGATTCTGAGCTTCATTCCTAGTTAGACCCCCTGCACTTGGGATCCTGCGTGTAGACCTCTTGCGTTTTTGCTTCTCTTTCTCATTTGCATTGAAAATATCCTCATACTGCTTCTTCATAACCATGGCGCTGACCATCCCGTATTCGCAGGCCTTGATTATTTGGTCAAAGCCTTCCACTAACCCATGAGGTTGATCCTGATCCATAAGATTTCTGACCTTATTCACCTGCTTCTGCAATTGCCGGGGGTTACTAGGTGTTTGTAGGATCCAGGATGACGTTGAATTGCTTGACCTGCTGGCTGGGGGAGTAGGGGTTCGGAGTTGAATATTCAGCTGCTGAACAACGCATTGAGGATCCAATGGAACTATTCCAGTGGCCCTGAACCCACTTTGAATGTTTGAAGCCTTGAAGGCTTCCCGACGTGCTGCAGGATAGGCATCTAGGAAATCTGCCTTCTTAATGGTGTTGAATCCTAGCCGCATTCGCTGTTCAACTAGGGTTCCGTACGCGCGCTTTAAAGGTGCAAAAACACCCACATCTAGTGGCTGCAAAAGGTGTGAAGAATGTGGTGGCATGCAGAGAGGAATAATCTTATTCTCACTGCAGATTTGGTCAAATTCCGGAGTAAGATGACTGCCGTGCTCGTCTAGAATAAGAAGAATATGGGGTTCCAACCCTGCGTGGGATTTGCAGCTGGAATAAAACAGCCCGTGTAAGCCATTTGATTCCTATCTCATCTGGTGGTCCAGCAATTAGGGACTAACATCCAATCTCCAGCCCTTCGGGCAGCCCGTCAAACCAGCCTTCCTGAATATTGTGACCTTTGAGGATAATATACGGCGGGAGGGGCCCCATCCTGAACGCGTTGACTGACTCAATTGCAGTCACCCACTCACGATTCCCAGGCTGTATAAGAGTTGCTCGTCCTTAGTGCTCAGCACTAGTAATGACCTTGGTAGTTGCACAGAGCCCCATTGCAAACCCAGCTTCATCAAAGTTGTAAATATCTTCAAACACAATCCCATGCTCAGTCATTAATTACCCTCTCTAGGGTCTTAAACCAACCCTCCACAATCCTGCGGTCTTCACACTTGGCCCGATCATGGTTATAGCGTCTTGAGAAGCGGCATTGGAGCTCTGGACGGCGTGCCACTAGATTTGACACCCAGTTCTTGCCAACGCGAGGAGGGTGGTTTGTATGGCTAGGCTTCCGTATGGCAAGAAGATGATTAGCCATATTCTCCACAAATGCAGGCCGGGGTGGTAGTCCTCGTAAAGCTAGGTCTAGGATCCATTGAACAAGCTTATCCTCTTCAGCAGGAGTTAATTTATGTGAATTTGCGCGTAAATTCACCCGTGAAGATCGACCACTGAGTCTATGACCAAGTGTAGAGCGTGGCACATTAAAGATGCGTGCAGCTTCAGAAATAGAGGATATTTCCTGCTTTTTAATAGCATTTATCGCGAGTTCAAGTCTTCCCTCTATCTCTATAGAGTTCCTAGCATCTTTAGAGCGAATTGGTGGCATAATTGCGCGTTGAAGTGGATGAGTAGGTAAATTAGTAGGTGGAAGAATTTGGCTGCTCGCTCGCTTGGGAATTACGTTAACTATCTAGGATCGCTTACAAATATTGTTCTGAAGGTGTGTAATCACCGTATCATGACAGCGAGGGGAGTATGTTCGAGGGTGGGCGATTAAAGTCATAGATCGGGTCCAAACTTGTTTATGACGCACTGCTGAATTCATCCGACGACTGCGATTGAGGGCTCATCTCATATTTACGCTGCGAGAAATCGAAACCCATCCCAGCTCTTGATTTATTGCATTACTCAAACACCTTGCTTCCGCATCTGACATAACAGGGGAGATCCCCAGCAAGCCACAGCAGATATGCTCCCACCGGCACTCAACATTCCTCGATGGTAAACCATCTCACCACACATATATTCCTGCATTCTCATACTCTACCCATAAAAAAGAAAAACAGAAGGCGTAAAAAAACAAAGTGGGAGAAATGACAAAAATCAAAGAAACAGAGAAAAAAGAAGCAAGCCCCCAAATATAATAACTAACCCTCAAAATCCCTTTACACAATACTACAGGCTCACCGAAAACGCTCACCTCCTCCAACCACCCATTAACAACTACTGCGTCTACCACCCATCCTCCCCCGCCACAAAGGGATATACCGTGATGGTCGTCGGCGGACCCAACGCCCGCACAGACTACCACATCAACACGACTCCGGAATTCTTCTACCAACACCGCGGCGCCATGCTTCTCAAAACTGTCGACACCAGCACCTCCCCGCCGACGTTCCACGACACACCCATCCATGAAGGGTCCCTGTTCCTGCTGCCTGCAAATACACCACACAGTCCTGTGCGCTTTGCGGACACTGTCGGTATTGTCGTGGAGATGCCGAGGGCTGACGGGGCGGAGGATACCTTGAGGTGGTATTGCGTTGGGTGTAAGGGGGTGGTTTGGGAGACGAGTTTTGTGTGCACAGATCTGGGCACGCAGGTTAAGGAGGTCGTGGAGAGGTTTGCGGCGGATGAGGGGAAAAGGAGGTGTGGTTCGTGTGGGATGGTGGCGGGGGTCAGGTATGCGGAAGGTGAGGTGGTACAGCCGGGGAGGTTTCCGGAGTAGGATACGGGTGGTTATGGAGGATGGTTGGATGGTATGTCGAATATTATCAGATCACTGGTATCTGTTTTACATTCGATGGCGGGCATGAAGTTGACAGGAACAATGTATTGTAGTAAATTCGATTCTATCTCTGCTTTTTCCTTCGTTATTTTCACCTTCAACAGTCCAAGAGAAGTCAAGCGGGAGTTAGTCGTAATTCAACCATCACGAAGATATATAAATGGCCCAAATAGAACAGATTACCCTGAGTTATTACCCATGGCTCGAAATATTTTAGGGACCCCAGGCACTGTGTTGCCCGCCTCACCCCCACATTAGCAGAACGTAGGTATAATGTGGAGAAAGTCAATCACAGTGAGCAAACAGCAGTTAAAGAAGAAACTGAACCGAACCGAACTGAACTGAAATAGAATGAGATGAACTTAATGGAGCTTAAATGGTTGAGTGAATAGTAAATTCGAATGATCATTTCGTAGTGTGTTGCACTCTGTGTAGTTGAGAGCTGGCAGAGCAGTAAGCAAATATCAAGACTGCTAGCTACCTAGGGTTAGGAATCCCACGAAGATAAACGTGGGAGCACTTAGATATTCTGGAGGAGGATTGGTAACGGGATTTGAAAATAGTAGGCATGTGGTTGCGGGGAGAGATATCAAGGTGTTGATTTTGTGTATTTACAGCGGAAGATGAATGATGTAAAGAGGAATTACAACGGGCTGTATAGAGTGGAAACGAATATTACAAAAAAGAAGAAGAAGCAAAGAAAAACAAAGATAGAAAGAGCAAGAGGGGAAGCAAGAAAACAGGAGGGTGGCGAGGCGGATGGGGTTGAAGATTGGTTTGGGTGGTGTTAAGGGGAGACCTTATAAACACAATAGATAGTAACTTATGTCACCATCAGCCAAATACATCAATCTTCATAAATAGCCGGAATAAAGAAGAAAGCCGAGAAGGGCTTCGGGGGATGAAGAAGGTCTCAAATGTCTGATTTCACAAAGATACCGAGACGAAATGGGGGAAAACATTGCAATAAAACCCGCACCGCACCATGAATGACATGTCTCGAAAAAGGAAGATACGAGGCGATAGAGAAGGGTAAAAAAGAAAAGAAAACGGACGGAGAAAGAATGAAGCCAGAGCGCAAAATATAAATATATAACCTGTAACATCCATCATTAACACCACCGCTCCCTAGCTCGAATTCCTTTCAAGCTTAACCTTTCACTCACTTACTCAGCAACCCAATTAATTTAGCTCTTCAACAAGAATAAAGACGGAGAGGGGCCCATGGTGCTTTGAGACCCGTAATTCTCGTTCGAGGAGAGTCAGAAAAAAACTAAGTACTTCAGTCTTCAAACGGACAATCGATACTCTCATGCCCATCCCGCTCGCACAGAGCACACCACTTTGACTCATCGATGACACCAGACGCCTTACCAGCGACCGGCGACATGTTAGCTGTCAGCCCGCCGATACCTTTCAACCCTTCCAGCACCGCATCACGCCCCGTGCGTTGCGAGCTGGGGCTTCCACTGGCCTTGTTGTTATTGTTGTACCCATTTGTTGTTGATGTGCCCAGGTTATTTTGTTGGCGTTGGTGGGTATTGCCGTTGAAGCTGTTGTAGCCGTTGTTGCTCTTGCTGTTATTTGCAACTGACTTACCTGCTGCGTTCGTATTGGCGGCAGCAGAACCAAACATATTGGTGCAGGTAAGGATATCATGTCCGCTTGTTTCGCAAATCTCGCACCAGAGCGCGCCGCTGTCCTCTGTGCTTGAGGAGCGAGAGTCAGATTCCTGCATGCTTTCGAGCTGCTGCTGGTGGCGAATGGGTTCGTTTTGGTGCGGTGGGGAGAAGTGAGGGTATTGGTTATGGCCATTGCTGCTTCTGGGGGGTGGAGAGGTGGTGTCGTGCCAGTCATTGGGGACGATAGTGCGATCAGAGAGGGTATGAGTGTGGTTGGCGCCACCAGCGCCCGTGCCAGTGCCGGCACTGTTGTGTCGCTGTTTGAGAGGTGAGGAGGTTATGGTACCGCTGCGGTTGCGGCCGGGGCGGTTCTGATTCTGGGCGTTTTCGAGCTCGCGCTCTAATTCTTCAATGCGGTAGGACTTATGGTCTGCGAGGCTTTCGAGTTCCTCAATACGATGTTCGAGTCTGGCGATGCGGTCTGCATCTTGGTGGTCACCATTATTGGCAGTCCCGACATTAATGTGTGTGAGGCCGGTCGGTTCACCTCTGCTGAGGGAATGGATGATAGCTTTTAGACCGCGAATTTCATCATCCTTTTGGTCCAGGTCTTTTGAGCTGGCATGTCCATCACCGCCGGCTCCTTTATATACCGAATTTGATTTCTCCCTTTCCTGCTTCAATTCCAGCCTAGTCCTTTCAACCTCACCCCTGAGGAACTCCACTTCTCCTCTTGCCTCAGCTTCGCCCCGACGAGCGTCTTCGAGACCATCTTCTAGTTCCGAGACTAATTCCTCCAATTGTTTAAGTTGCCTTGCGACAGTTTCCACATCCTCACCACGATCTTGTAGCTCCCTATTAGCCTGCATCAGCTCCTCTAGTCTTCTCTCGTAGACCCTCTCAGTCTCCGCGGCAGCCACTTCCAGAGTATCTAAAGTGCTACGAAAATCTGCTCGATGGCTGTCGAATTCCGCCGTGAGAGCGGCAATCTTCTCATTTTTCTCACGAAGTTGTGCGCGCACCTGGAGCGCATCCAGACCCTCCAACTCGGTAATGCTCTTTTGAAACTCTGCGAGTGTCGATGCCTGGTCTTCCAGCTGTTTATCACGATCACGCAATTGTTTCTCCAGATGTTTGATTCTATCTGTTGACTCGCCGTCGTTAAGTGCTGGTGTTCTCGTGTCATGCCGTTTTATTGACCCGGGCGTGTTCATTCCACTCTCGATGCTGATTCTAGATGACGGGCGACTGGGTGGCCGGGTAGCCCTGAGCGGCGTTCGAGGAACACCTCCGTTGGCAGGGATGCTCTTAGAAAATGCGGATGGCGTCCGGAGGGCGGTCAGGTTCAATTTCGGCGGAGAGGCTCGTGGTGATTCAGGCCGTGGGAGGGACGGGCGTCTGAATTTGGGTCTGTTTACAGAGAGAGGGCCAGGCCCTGCGCCAGGGCCGACGGATTTGCTAAAGGGAGGTTTAGAAGGTGTGGGCGGTGTGCTGCCCATAGATGCAGTCCGCTTGGAGACATATTTGTTATTATTCATAGGCACGAAGATGCCGGAGCCTGGTAGTGATGTGGTGAAGTAGCTCCGGCCCTCGACATCGCCGTTATTCTTGCCTCTGCCGGCATGTTCGGGGGCCAGCTCAACACCAGCAAAGCGGCCAGGTTTCCCGGCGACTGGGCCTAGAAATTTGACAGTGCCGTACATGCCCCCTGGCACGTTCACCAGGTCTCCGACCTGGATATCGTCAAGGGGCGCCATAATCGTGCGTGATGTTGTGTAAATAAAGTTCTGGTGGAGTAAATAGTTAAATAGTGCAGGGATAGGGCAGATTATTTAAGAGATCCGTAATAACATGTCAGGCATAGAATTGAGAATAGCCAGAAGTGCAATTCAAGTCAAGCATGAGAGGGAAGAAAACAGTGTAATGAGTGCAGAGGAAAGATCTTGGTGATACATAGACAGTCGTTGTGAAAAGGAGACATTTGGGTTGTGGATCAGAAGAAGACGAGAAGATTTGGAAGTTGTCGGTGTTGATTGGCGAACTATAAGTACAAATATTTGCATCCAAAGGGACACGACAATGATATTTACAATTCGGCTGGAAAAGGAAGAAATAGAAAATAATCTCCAAATAAATTATCTATTGCTTTATTTATTTACTCACTCCCTAAAAGCTAAACATAAGTATTTATAGAGGGTGAAGAGATTAATGTCTTCTGTACTCCGTACAATTTGTATAACACCAGGTCCAGATACATGGTTCAGATCGCACTGGCAAGTTCTCCTTTTGTTTATTTATTCTAGTTGATTATTCCCTGGGTGCTATTAAATATTAACCTTCTCACTCCATGCATGCCATCTCTCTCCATACAATTTCGCTGTTAGCTCAGCCCAAGCATCGTATTTTGCGTCTCAGCCTCAATCAACACTCAGACAAATTCCCCCAAACACATTGCAACTATCTGATATACTGGATACACAGATTAGCTCCTTAACATACACCACCAACCCTGCCGCTGTGCAATGAGCGCTTCCTTTCTTTGCTTGATCTATCTCTAATTCATATCCATATCGCTTGTGCTCAATTTGTTTTGTTGCGCCAGCGTCCTCAACACCTTCCCATAAATAGTAGTTCCATTCCATGCTGATCTAAATACTATTCCTGGCAGCCCTCCCTTCTTATTCTGCTTCTCTTATATACTTCCCTTTTAACATTCCATCCCCACCATGTCGCAATACTTCTTCGATCTCCTCTACACTTTCACAGACTGCATGTGCTGTTTCCCTAACTCCCCGCAACTGAAGATCAACAACAGGAGTTTCAAGCTACTCCGACTACTAGGAGAGGTATGTTATATTCTAATAAGCGCGTGTACCCGGGTTCCCACTGAATGCGATAATATGAGAGGTGATGAGATGAAGGAAAGTGGAAACCGAAAAGCTGACGAAATCAATCCGACTTATTTACCCAGGGCGGCTTCTCCTACGTCTACCTCGTCCAGGACAAGAACACGTCTGAGCTTTTCGCCCTCAAAAAGATCCGCTGCCCCTTCGGTCAGGAATCCGTCTCCCAGGCCCTCAAAGAGGTAGAAGCATACAGCCTCTTCTCCCCAAATAGATACATCATC